GATCTGCATGCTGATCACAGTAGAGTTGACTGCTGTTTCAGAGCAGTCTCTGGGCTTACGTGCTAGCTGGCAAATAGAAAGTTAGAAACAAAAAAGACTTCCTGTTTTTAATGCAAGCTCCCCTTTCACTGCTGTGGCAAACAACACTCAAAGTTAGCTGAAAGCATTTCCTTTAAATTGGACTGCATCCAAAGGTATCTTAAATTTGGACTCGATCTTGGTAAAACATTCATGACAACTGCCCTGCACAGAGCACAGAAATTGGTAAAGACCTGAAAGAAATCTCGAGGAAGAGATGAACTGCCAAATCCAAACAGTCAAAACCAGAGCACTAGGCATCTATAAAATTGGGATTTGTGTGGGTTTTGGCTCCTGCAGTTTACTCTCATTTCAGGCTTCTCTTAATAATTGCAAGGACATAGGAAGTTACTTAAAAGTAAATTAAGCGTCAGGTTCCTTATTAAATTACCTAAACTCAGGTCCCGTGGTTCTATGAAATGTATCAAACACTAATCCTCAGCAGCACAGTTACAGCATGCAGCACAGAGAAAATTCAGTGCTACTGAATACTGTGCAGGAGGACTGAATGAAGTTGCCACTACCTTCCCATCTGCCTGCAGTCCTTTGTCCCGACAAATACAAACCCTTATATTATACAAACACCAGCTGAAAGCTGCCAGAAAACTTTCTCAGAACAGTCAAATTCCTACGGTAACAACTTGCTTGAGTCTACTTCTTGTAGTTTACCCTAAGCCCTTCTACTAGCCTCAGAAAGCAGGTATTTGACTAGAGAAACTTCTAATGTGACTGAGTATAACCTTGTCACATAGCTTCATTCCTCTGAACTATCCTGGCACTCTATGCAATAAAAGCTAGGCAGAGATTGCACAAAGAATGTACGAAAAACAATTCCTAAAGGTCTACAGCCTCCTACTTTTTCACTTTTTGCCCTGCGAATGCTACATTCAATACCTGCTGTGCAGAAGAATCCTGGCCAGCAGGGACCACTTGGAGATGATAATCCCCATTCTCCACAGAACATTCCTGGAAGACCACAGAGGGAAAAGAGTATCAGTAAACTGGGAGAAAAAACAGGAGAGCTGCTGTACTGCAAGCACTGATTGGAAGGCAAAGGGGAAGACTCTGAGAGCACCAATCCTTCAGCATCAGCACAACTGGGACAAAACTGCATTCCAACTCAGATCATGCTCTACTCTGGGAAATCCTGAGTGTAAACCGAACTCTTCTGCAGAGCCTCGAAAAAACCTGTGGCTCGCTGGGGGACACTACCAGTGGGACAGGGAACCTCCTTTGACTGTGTATTTTCACGATTGCATTTCCTACAGGTGAAACACACATCAGTGGATTGGGAAAACAGATACGCAGAGAGATCACCCTCTTAGACACTGCCCCACATGAACAATCAGAGCACCCGGTCATTTCCTCACCTGCAGGGCACTGCTGACACCTCTCTGCCTGGCTGAGTCCATAGGAGGGGTTGTAAGTCCCAGGGGGACATGGATAAAAACGGATTCCAGTTTTCTGAGGGCAATAGAAGCCAGGAGGACAGCGACGCCTCAGTCCTTTTGAACAGTGAAACCCAGCAGGACAAGGAAAGCATTTGTCTTGACCTGTGAAGGAAATACAGGAATTAAAAGGAACCACGTAACGAAGTGGAAGAAAAATACCATATGCGCAACTGACTGGTTGTGCACTTAAAGAAGCAGAAATCGAAATAAAGCTATGTAAGCCCTCCTGCTATAACTGGCCTTCAAACATGCACCTTCTCCCAGGAGCATTCGATTCAGCAAAATTTCTCAACTCCACTTCAGCAGCCCCAGAGTGCCAGTAACCTCCACATCTCACCATTAGGTGGCAGGCAGAACGGCAAGGAAATCGGGTTAACTGCTTACTAGCTTTCTGTGCACTGAGTATCACTGCTACAATCTTAATAGGTGAGGTGCTCCAGGGGTGAAATATATTCCCCATGTGACACCAGGAAAAAAAACCAAAACAAACTACTCCCCCCGCACCTCCAACCCCTTTCTCTACTGCCCCCCCTGAAAATACTGATGCTCATAATGGCCACCAGCTATCAAGACGTTCTTGGATACAGACAAAAAACACAATCTGTGTTTCTATCTCCCCCAAGTCACACTGAAGTTGTAAAGATCCAGTTCCTCACCTGTTGCATTACTGTATTCTCCACTGGGGCAGGGAGAAGGTGCTGCTGAGCCTGCACGGCAGAAATGTCCTTGAGGACAGAGATCTCCCGTGATACCATCCTCCGGCTTTGCAGTCTTTGTTCTTCCTGTGCAGTAATAGCCTTAAAGCAGAAAGCACTTGAGTCCTGTCTCCCATTCAAAAAACCCTGAATTTCTGAGTAGCTAAAGAAGTTCTGGCTTTGTCTCACCTTGTGCACACAGTCCTGCAGGAGCATCTTGGCCAGACATATTGCAGAAAAACCCAGGGGCACAAGGCAGACACCAAGTGGCATCCTGGGCTCCTCTCTGTCCGTTCCAGGTCCCAGCAGGGCACGGCATCTCTTTTGGGTGTGTTGTGCCAGCAGGGCAATAATGTCCTTGTGGGCAAAGATCTCCAAACGGAAGACCCATCTGAAGCAGGGAAAATAAAATTAATATGGTTTATGAAAGCTTTTGTAGTGCCAAAAGGTCTGAAGCAATGCAAGTTACTCAGTACTCACAGGTGAGGAGGTGCTGGAACCTTGCATGCAGTAATATCCTGGCTGGCAATATCCTTCTGGCTCAGTCAGACCAGCCACGCTGCAGTACATGCCTGCTGGGCAGGGCTTGCATGAACCTGCCCTGACTACATCTGTGTAACTTCCCTGCACAAAGAGAGAGAACCAGTGAATGCCCCCTGCCAAGGGATTGGGAGCCTGCTGAAAACTACTACTTGAAAAACAAGTCCATATTTGATTCTTACCGCTGGACACGGGAGAGGCAAGGAACTTCCAGGCAAGCAAAAATGCCCTTTGGGACAATCCTGGGGTGCAGCCAGGCCCGGCTCATTGCAGAACGTACCCTCTGGACAGTCCCTACAAAGAGACTGACCACGGCCCTAACGAGGGAACACAGAAAGAACCTTGCAGATGTGGGGTATTACTGCTTACTATGTGAATAAATAAACTTTGCACATTCTACCAACTCCCAGAAACTTCCTACTACAGAATAAACACCCCGAAGCAAATGAACTGCAGTCCAAATGCAACAGATTTGTGTTATCCAAACAGCACCTTGCACCACTAAAGAAGTGGCAGGCTCGGGTCTGATCTAATACAGCAGTAAGGCACACGCACATGTTAATTCACCTATGCTAGGCTAAAGCCTCCTCAGCCCACTTCTAAATATGTACTATGCAAGAAAACTGAAGAAAAACTGCCAAATGAGCTATAAACAGGAGTGCTGTACTGATGGATCTGATGTCCTGACACAAACCTTTTTAGCTCTGCATAGAGTTCCACAAAGGAGATGGTGATCACCCAACTTCAGATAAAACCCAAGTCCCTCTTTTTTTAAGCTGACCACTTGCAAACACCTCATGAATTTCTATTCACACACTTTACAGCTTCCAGGGGCTCTGATGACCTCACAGGTATATTACACGGTGCATACTAACATACTTACAGGCTGGAAGCTGCCAAGAGGACATGGCTCTGGCTTGAAAGCTCCTGTTAAAGAATAATGCCCCTCCATCACCACTTGCTGAAGAGCGCTTTTGGCACCTCCTGTACAGAAGTAGCCAGGTTCACATGGTCCCGAGGGAGCTTGGTTACTTGTCCCATCACAATACAGGCTATGTGAGGAAAAACAAAAACCTCGGGTAGCAATAGTTCCTTTTGTCACTCGATAGCACAGTCCCGATACAAAAAAAAAAAAAAAAAAAAAAAATATCCCTGTAGTCTCCCTGGAATCTTAGAGACATGGTTCCTGTTTGCTTACAGGCCTCAAAAGGGAGTTACAGACGATATGCATCACTTCTCACACATGCTTTTTAAAGACCATAACCTCTCAGGTTCAGTAGCTTTATCCTGGGAAGAATTCTCCCCTCTACAGTCAGGGAGTGGCTTCTGCATATACTTCTGAATAAAGATCACACAAACACCCAAATGTTGGTTTTCTTCAAACCTTCTCTGCAACTTTGGGCTAAAAATGTATATAAAGGAAGGAACTTTGATGTCATTCCCTCCAACTTCCAGACAGAATATGAATTCCAGAGCAGTCTCTTGCTCTGCTTTCCTGCCTACCTCTCCTGGGAAAACAGACTGAAGTAAAAGTAAAAAAGAGAGACAGTTCTTTGACTGTGGATTCTCTCAGAGCTTTGGATTCCACCGCATGGAGATCTACGACTCCAACCCAGCTGATCTCCTTCTTCACAGTAAAGCATAAAAATTACGAGTTTTGTGCCACTAAGCCCCAGATGATCTTGCACGCACCATTTGTCATGCCAGCATGAAGATATGATCACCTGAAAGCCAGACTGTCCCTCGCCGGCCTTAACAAGCTGCACATACTCAATGCACACTCATGGACAGGTGAAAGCCACCACAATCCATACATTTCCTTCAGAATCAGTTGTGTAATTTTGTGTCATTAAAAGGAATGCAACAAGGTGGTGAATTATACTATCTGGTAACATAAAAAGGACTACCCCATCAGTATTAATGAGGACGTTTAAGCAAGAGCTGCTAGGTCAAGCCATCCTGCACTACAGACATAATGAGTCTTGACAGAAGCCAGGGAACACTAAAAGCTGGGGGACAACTCAGACAATTCAAATTCCTTATTGTAAATCTACTGATACAGGTATGTAGCCATGGAGAATGCAGGTTGTGCATTTGTACTAGGGCCTTGGGAACAGAGGGAACTCCTCTGTAAGAGGGCTGAAGGTAAGGATGGGCTGCTCTGGTAACAAACTTGGGGGTTGAACAATCCCTTTGCAATGGGACAGAACTCAGCTGTATTCTCCAAAGATGATACTCACCCAGGTGGGCAGTCCAAGCACTCATGGAGGCTTCTCAACCCACTCACATTGCTGTAAGTTCCTGGAGGACAGGGGATAGGTGAGGGAGAGCCGGCTGGGCAGTATGCCCCAGCAGGGCACATGTTTCCTGTCACGCCATCTGCGGGCAACTGAAATTGGAAAAGGCATCATTCAAAAAAAAAAAAAAAAAAGAAGGAGTAAACGGCGTTAAAATATTTAAAGGCATCATACTGATTTGGGCCCAAGGCAATAAAGAAAAGAAAAACAAGAGACATACTCTGTTGTACAGAAAACAGACAACACCTACTTAAGGGAAATGTAGCAAACGCAAAAAGAATAAATATGGATGACATTGTTACACTAGCAACCCCACTGCGATTCACACCCACTGAACTTTTCACCTGTAGCCTTTTCACCTGGCTGCATTTTTAATTAAGGGGCTGTTAGTGTTGAGAGGGAAAAATATGATGTGGTTACACTCCCTTTGAGGGCAGCATGAGCGGTCCTTACGCCATAAATTTGAGCGTGAGCAGTACCAAATTGCGACTCTGGAAGTCACTGGGTTGACAAAAAGCACCACAGTGGGAAAAAAAACCCCACAGTGGAGCACAATTAGATAAGAAGAAGAAAACCTTGCCACGTGACTTACTGGAGTCAGGGCCCTGCCCTGGCAGTAGAATCCAGCCTCACAGGGACCACTTGGCCCAGTCTGTCCTGGAGCAGCACAGTAGAAACCACGGCCACAGGGGCTGCACTCCGAGGGTCCAGACAGCCCCTTCTTGTTACTGTATGTACCCTCTGGGCAAGGTTCAGGTTTAGAGCTGCCTTTGACACAGTAAAAGCCCTGCAAAACAAAGCCAGCTTAATACAGCATTTAAGGCTCTTCTATTAAATAGACTTCCACAGACCAGCTTCTTCCATTAGATAACCGCGAAAGAACAACTTACCGCTGGGCAAGGTTTGGGCTCCAACATGGCAAGAGAGTCACAGTAGTACCCAGGTGGACATGGTTTGCAAGCATCTTCACCCTCTACACTGGAATTATCCCAGAAGAAGCCTGGCATACAGGGGAAGGAGAAAGGGAATCCAGTCCCTGGAGGACAGTTGTAGCCGGGTGGGCAATCCCCCGTCTGGAAAGCAAAATACACAGTCAGGCATGGCTTTGTCTTCTTTGGAGCAGGGAAGAAGAATCTGTTAAGATTCAACACAGAAAGATACAAGCTTCATCGACAATTTGAATAACCTGGCATTTTTTTACTGCAAGAAAACGGAGCAGAAAAGAAGGGAAGGAAGGGAATTCACAGTCTTACCAGTAAAGTTTTGACCATGTAGGATACTTATTTTAGGTGAGATTTTTTTTAAGGTAAAATCTTGTCATTGAGACAGGTCCTACATGTTGCCTATACAGTTGCGCAGAAAATGCTCTTCTGCGCTTGGAAGAGCTGTAACCGGGATAAGAGCTATTACCTTGTTCTTAAATAAAAGTGTGGATTCATCCAAGTGGAAGAGAATCCAACTGCATTTCTTACTCTTAATAGAGGCTTCTTCTTTTAACAGCTATTAATATTTGAAGAGTTCACTCTTTCCAGAGACAAGACAATCGCAATGAAAGATCCCAAAACTCATTAGAGAAGAGCAGCACCAATTCCTGACCTTTGAACTCTCTTTCACAGCCTGCACTGACAGCCAGAAGGCTAAGTAAAGACAGAAAACATGCATTAAGCTTGCTCCATTAACAATTGCAGCCTTTGGGGGGGGGG